TCTTCGGATCCAGAAGTTCAAATCAGTTTGTCTGAAACACGCAGCTGAGACTTTAGAAGGTATATTCCACAACATAAGGTACGCGGTAGGGAGATATTTTAAGGCTTAACAGAGTGCCATAAAAAAGTACAGTTAAAATTGTCGTGTTAGCATGCATGGCAGCTACTAGGAGTGAAAGGCAAGTTCACACTTATACTTGTATTACAATAAAAGTAGTCCTAAAAATCTCTACACAGAGAATATTTACTGCACTATAATTCTTCCTTTCATGTAATATCTGAGGAGATGATGCAAGCTGTACTGGAGTGGGAGAACTGAGGTAAAATGTCCCTGCCACGTTGCTGCTTACACGTTTAAAGAGATCCCTAAAACAAAGTAAGATTTTTAAGGAAGCACAGCATGCTCTGTACACCACTGTGGCACAGGTTTGGGTTGACAGAAGAAAACAGGACAGAAAGACCTAATTTAAATCCATTTTATTCTCATTGACTTCAACTTTTTTATTTTTTTTTCCCCCAGCAACATACATTATGAAATATACAAGATAAAGTAGGTGGTGGGGTTCTGCCCATGTTGTCATTCCTCCCACAGCTGTGGAGGGAAGACTTGCAGGACACTGAACATCAGAATCTCAACACTGAAAACAGACACAAAACAAAAAAAGACAAAAATATATATGAAACTGTTTGAACTGGTCACACTTCAGGGCCAGGTACAGCACAATAAATATTAGAACTGCATTATCTTAGACATCTTCTGTAAAGTTTATAACATCCTCTATTTAAAGAGATAAGAACATCTGGTTTCTAGCATGAAATGCTACATAGTACAGTGGTGAAGGGTACGAACGATGAGGAATCCAGCAAGGGCTTGGACAGTGACTACTCATTCACACATGCTCATTGGTAAAATAAGCAGCATACACTGAAAGTTTAGTGAGCTGTAAACTTAACCATTCACTACCAGAGTATCAGCTGTAGTAGTAGTTCCTCGCAGGAGAACCAAAAATAGTTAATCCCTCTAAGTTTCAGCCGGGCTCTCCCTGACAAACAGCAAGTTGATACCACAATGGAAGTGGCAGCATTTGGTCCGTAGCACGAGCTCCCTTTGCATCACTACTGTTCAAAGCTGGCAGCCGGTGGGAATACTGCAGTGCAGAATTCACACTTACATAGCCACGCCACTACCACGTGTAGGTGTCACCTACAACGGTTACTGTTTCACGACCGTAACAGAGCAGTAGATGGCAGCTGGAACCCAGCTGGGCGCAGAGTGCTGCACGACAGCGCAGCGCTGGATGCCGCCTGACACAAGCGAGAGGCAGAGACCAGAGAGGGTGCCAGCATTTTTCCCTCTCCTCACTCTGCAGCAACGGTACGAGTGCTGGGCTCTTGGAGTTTGACAGAAAGGCTGCTCTGTGCTCATTCTTCATCTCATACTAGTTTTGCCAATAAATGAGCCCGAGAGCAGTTCGGCTGCTTGACAGAGTGCTTCCAGAGCACAGAGCCCAAGACCAGAGTCACTGGTTTCTCTTGCATTGTAATCAACAAGGCAGAAGTAAATACATTTTGTACTTGTTAACCTCCCCCCCCGTTCATCCCCTGCCCCCAGAAGTGTAGCATCGTACGTTCCTCCTACACGAGAACTGGGGACCTTCTGTGCCCTTGCCAAACAGGGCGCGTGGGCACAGGTGGAAGAGGAAGGTTAAGCACACGCTTTCCTTTCCTTAGCGTGACCTGGGCGTTGTGCTGGGAGGCAACCTGCACTGGCAGACAGAGCACCACCAAGGAAGGACTGTACTCCTGGTCCACACACGTGGCATCACTGTAACTTGCTATGCGTGTCCTGCAGTACACAGCAGCAGTCACAAGCTTCACAAACTAAAGCAGCTGAGTGGTGTGAAATTTTATGGGGTGAGTGGGAGGCAAGAAGGTAAAATTCTGCTGGAAGCTGAGCACCTATGGCTTTGATTTGAGCTGATGCTGAGTCCAACAGTCCTATCTGTATTAAGTAGGAAAATAAAATTCTATTTCTCCAGTGTACAAAAGTATACTGGCTACTTGTACATGCTCATCTTCTAGTTAGTCCCTTCTTGGAGAGATCCAGAACTACCACATTTCAATGCCAACAGACTCAGCTGAGGGTTGCAGAAGGGACAGAACACTGAAGAATTTTTGGTTGTATCAACACGTCATCAGAATATGGTCAAAAATTCTGCTCGAGAATAGGGAGTTCTACATCATGATAGTCACTTAGCAAAGTGCCAGATGTAAATGCCCTTACCACTGCCAGCTCAGAATGTACCGTGTGACTGCACTAAGATCTACACCTCCTCTGCCGGTACAGCTCAACTGGTTACCACTCAAGGTGAAAGATCGGTTACCAAGAGAGCTGGGAGAGGCGAGGTGAAATTTTTCCCACCCTAGAAGTGTACAACAGCATTTCCTCACTCAGCCAGACCCATTCACACATCACTCACCATTTCAGACACACAAAGCAATGCCAAAACACAAACCAAGAGGAATGTTTTGTAAGGACACTCTCTGAGTATGAACAGGGAAAACATAGGGCTATTTATCAACTCAAGTACTGTTGCATCGTTCTTGTAAGGTAGGGAAGCAGAGGAGTTGAGATGAGGAATTGAGAGGACAAACTGAAGCGGTCACAGAGGTCGAGTCTAGTCTTCCAGACTGCGAAATGCGTTCTGCATGTCCTCAAACAGCTGAGCGTAGTCCGCCTTGATTTTTGTTTCACCATCTTTGACAGGGTCCTGAAAGATAACACGGCACATGAACAGATCCGTCAGGAAAAGCCTCGGGTACTTAAGACAACCCTGCTTTGCCAGTGCTGTAATTTCTCGACCTCAGGATTAACATTTGCTAACTGCAGAGCAGGCATTATAGCTCCATCTCTACCTCCTGCCCGTCTCAGCAACAGCCACAAGGTTTAAATCTCATCCTCCTTCCATGTTCAGTGAGCAGGCAGAATGGATACTGGACAGAGAATTTTATTTTGTGAGCAGTGGTTACTTTATTGAAAAGCAACTGATTTGGAGAGGATTCAATAATACTGAGGGTCTTAGTTAATGCTGTGTGACTCATGAGCTGCAGCAATTAATACCGGCTCCTATCCCCAAACCAAACAGAGTAAGCATCTTTGTGACTCAGAAATGCTCTGCTGTACTTTTTGGGGTGCATCCCCTGTAAGTGCAGAAGCTCCTTTGCCATCACTCAGGGGTTGCTTGGTTCCAATTAAAATCTTATTGTGTAATTATAACAACCTCAGAAACATCTTGGTACACCTTCGTTTTCTCAGAATACTTTTCATGAAAGACAAGGGCAAAAAATCTAACAATCAGCTTTGCTCCGAGGCTGCAAGGCCTTCCCTGCAAGAAGCATTAACTGCCAGACTGTGAAATCTGTTCAACATCTTTACCGTTCCTCTTCCAGCGCTACGCTCCTCTGGGTCAGTGCAGCTCTTGGGAAACACAGAGGACTTACATGCACGGATGCGATGCGCTGCTTCTTCATTGTCCCTCCAAAGTACACAACCCGCAGGATGCAGGACATTTAAATTCTCATGCCTTTTAGACTGTTACCCAGGAAATAAAATTTTCCTTTCATAACTATTACTATATTAAAGGGCCGGCTCCACTTAACATGTATTCGCCCTCTGGATTCCCATTTTCAGCCATGCTGTCCACCACTCTGCTGTACGCCAAATGTCTTCTGGTGGCCAGGCTTTGTAAAAAGTGTATTACTCCCACTACCTCCATATAACCAGCTCTCAAAGAAGCTCATGTCCCCAAGTGTATCTTGTTATGTTCTTGGTGCTTTGAGAATATATACCAGGGATCCGCTTACTACAGAAACAAGCCAATACCCTGCAGGAATAGAATACCTTGGCACACCAGAACACTTAATTTTAAACGTAATTTTATCTTATGGCACTTGTTCTTAAAAGATTTGCAATATTGGCTTATAAGAGTTGTAACAGAATAAGCATCATATTTCACAGAGAATATTCCTTAGCTACTTTTAACATCAGTCAGCACCACACGTTACTGTCCTACCAGTAACTACTACACCAGCATGCTCCAGGTGAGTTTTAGGAAAGCTGTACTCTAAAAAGATGGCTACTGAAGTTACCCAGAGGAGATGATCTGAGCCACTTGTTTTCGCTTCAGCCCATGTTGGAAGTTACTCTTCCCTTTCTCTATTCCTAGTTACCTGCCTTAAGCCCTGAAGCCAAACGCAGGGGACATCACGTATTACTGCAAGAGACTAGCATTTCTTTCATTAACTTCTATTTAAAATAGCTTGATCAACATTTCTATCATTCACTTTTTAGCACACTCCTGGATTTAAACTTTAGGCTGCTTTTATCTGCTAATAGTCTCCTTAGAACATGTTATAATTTTTTACAGAATTTTATCACAAAACCCCCAAAACAAACAGGAAGGGTGCTTGTACTATTACCATGAATTTATGTAACATAAAAGAGACTGTTGAAGGTGGGGTTGCCAAGGCTCTGCAGCCAGCATCACCTGACTAGATTTCTGTACTGACCATTCCTGTGCTCACAAACTAAAACCAGTTCTTAAGTGTATTCAACATGATTGCAAAAGGTCTCTGTTTGTAGACCCTTATCTAAGGCAACTGATGACCACCTTTGCGTAATAGCCTTTCAGAGGCACTGGAAGCTCACAAAAAGCAATGCAACCCAGTTCCTTACAAACATACCTTGAATTTCATGGAGGTAAGTCTGTAGAGGATTTCGCTCATGTTCTCTCGGATGATGGACCACGTGATCTTATTGTCACTCTGGGCTGTGGTTTCTACAGCACGGCGTGCCATGTCATAAAATGCAATCATATTGGAAAGCATTCCCACTGTTTTATAGAAAGGGCAGAACCTGATGGAACAGAAAAGAATCTGTCAGGCATCTTGGAACAGTTAACAGGACAAGCCTTTGCTCCTGCCTTCACAACAACTGAATTCTCACCTGAAAGAAAGAGCACTAGCCTGCTTTACTCCAGGTATTTTTGATACATACTGTCAAAGGAAGAGACTGCCTCTAATAGGTCCCACATTTTTAAATAGGTGAATCATAGGCTAAGACAATCATCCTGAAGTGAGGTTTCTGAAGCAGCACCCAAATGCTGGACAAAACAGGAGACAACAGGAGCCATCGCTGTACAAGTCTCACATTTCAATCTGCACCGATACTAACGAGAAAAGGAGAACATCATAGCAGCCAACGGAATTCCTCCTTCCTGTTTTGTCCATCACGGGAGCAGGCTTCCTCCAAGCAGCCTGGGATGACCTGACGGCTCTGCAAGTTTCTTTGCTCACAGGAAAGGGAGCATTTCTATGACAAGAGCACTCCACACACAAAAAACTCCATTTTTAATGGGTAGACGACTGCCATGGAGGGTACCTCATTATTATTCATACACTACCTCATGGGCTTCCCTATTGCATACAAACATACCTGCCCTAGTAACCTAATCAAAGGCACACATCATTACAGAATGATGTATGTCTAAATTTTTAGTGATGAAGTATTTCAAGACCTCCCGATCTACCTGGGCTGGGAAATGACATGAAGTACAAAAGGCCCCTTTGTCAGGCTGTTAAAACACACGGATAGCATGGAAAGAAGCAAAGCAGAGGGATAATAAGCATTGCACTAGGGAAAAGATCCAGTAATTTTTTTTTGATGGATCTAACTTACTCAAGAATTATGCAACAGTAACCAAAAGCAGATTCTAGCAGTCCCCCATGCATCGCTAGAATAAACAGGAAGGCTTTGGGTGTTGACTGTGAAAATAAAGCAGTCCTCTCCTCCTCAGGAGGACATGCTATTGCAGAAATATTGGCTAACTGAACAACAGATGAGTGCCTGAGAAACTCGAAGGGTGTGACTGCATTCGCAGAAGGTCTGCATCCCTTGGGTAAGAGACTAGTCGATGGTCTACCTAAGCACAGTTCTTCCATTTGTTTATGGTGAGTAAAATTAATTTCTGTACTGATCTGTTTCCAAACAAAGTAGCTGTCTAAATCTAGACTACACAAGACCAAGAGGGCAGAGTGGCCGGTCAGATCTCACCTGTCATAAGGTGTATAACCATTCTGTTGCAAGAAGTCATCTTTTATCAGCTTGGCAACCTCCAAGGTAATTTTATCTGTTTCTGCCAAGGAAGCCTAGAAAAGTAAGGTACACTGTTAGTTTCATACTCAAGTCCATGAGGACATGTCCTGGCCAAGAACAGTTATCTTTGAGTACCTGTTTTCTTCCCACTCTTTTAAGATGGCTTCCAGCAGAATTCTGTCTTTTGGGTATTTCTCACTCCCTGCTACAGAACAGCCTATTTAATTGATTACCAAATTAAGATGGGCCAAACAGTCAACAAGTCTACTTTAAGTCTATCTGATGATAAGCAACAGAAAGGAAGTTTCCTTTAAGATAATGGAAAAGCCACCAGACACACATGGCTCTGCTATGAGGTATGTTGAAACATCACCTTCCTACATGAAGAGGTAAATTCATTTTTACCTCCCTCAATCCTTATGTCCATGGAAGAAAAACTAGATCTCAGCATGCCAGATCAATAAGTAATCTTAAGGATTTGATACGAGCCTCCACAGCTACCAGTGGGCTTTTTCTGTCTGGCATTCAAGACAAGTAAAGGAGTTGATGACAATGCCTGTCATACTCTGCAGGACAGCCACAACCCTGCTGCACACTGCTGCTGTTGGTGCCACAGGTCACTCTACCTTCACTGTCCTTTCGCTAAAGGGAGCGGACTGAGTTTTAAGTACCCCAGCTTGCTTTCTAGACGGGAAGTTTGGATCTTCTTTCATGAGAAGACTGACAGAATTCAGAGCTAAAAAGAAAATGTATCTGGTTGTTTTTCCACAATTCCCCCTTTCTAAAGGTTTGTTGCAGTTATTAGCAAAGCCCAGACTGAAAGAAACTGTTAAAGATAACGTCTTTGAGAACAAGATCACCAGTTCCAGTATTTCTACCATGGGAATAACACCTGGCTTAATTAGTATTTAACAGCTATTCATTAATAATTTAATATTTAGCAAACATTAAAAATAATAATTGACAACAAGCACTGGCTTATCAATACCTCTTCCACACCAAGGAACTGATTCTACCTTGCTCTGTAAACTAGTCTTTCAGAGTATGTTTCTGTAAATAGAAAACTGCAGAAGACCCTAAGATCACATGTCCTTTTCTTTGAAGACACACGGAGAAAGGAGAGCTCTGCTAGGCAAGATCTGATAAACGGCCCCTTCTCAGTTGGGCTAGAACATCAGTGAACAGGGAGAGCACCAGGACCAAACTTCCTCCAAATAACTGTAGTTAATACATGTTACCACACACTACCACCACCTTGTAAATGCCCATCTGAACATCACGGGATTATGTTACTGTCAGTTATGTGTTAGGCACCTGTCAATTATCATATTTACAGTGCTAAGCTGAAACACAGGGTTTTCACTGGGTCCCTTTTGAGAGCTCTCAAGGGAAATTTTCCTGTCCAAGTTCAGCTTTCTCTCCAAAACAGTGAAGTGAATGAAGGAAATTAAAGAATGCCTGTAAAATGGAGCCATATGTCATGTCATGGGTTTCCACAGAGAAACTAAGTAATCACCAGTTTTTAGAAAAAGCAGACATTACTTCTGTTTCTACAGGCCTGCTTGTAAATGCCAACACCTCTGTTCTGCTGCTGGCAACATGGCTTCTAATAAATTGTAACCCTTCAGATCGTTCCAATAAATTCTAACCCTTCAACAGCAAAGATCAGTCTGCACCATTCATCTTACACAGATTACTTCCAATGGAGTACTATTGTAGGTTGCAACAAAAGGCATTTCAGAAGGACTAGAACACTGAAGCAACTGAAGTTTCTCAACTCCAGCATTAGATGCCGTGCAATCTAACCTACATGAGAAAAGTAGCATCAAGCCAAGGTTTATCAAATCTGAAAAAGCATTTGTCATTAGAAGTCAAACAACATGTAAGAAAGTTGGAATAAAGCACAGTTAGAGGCAAGAGAGTCTTGACGTCTCCCAGTGACCATTAGCCTTTTTTGCACAATGCAGTGTCCATCAAGTCTGGTCTAAGACATGGTCAAAAGCCTGCACTGGTAGTAAAGAAATGGAGGATGGATCATTGACGCCACATTTCCTCACAGCTGGTTACTCACCTTCCCCACAAGCTGCACAATCTCTGCAAGGTCCTCTTCCTCCTGTAGGATCTCTTTGGCCTTTGTCCTGAGAGGGACAAACTCTGGAAAATGCTTGTCATAGTACTCGTCCAGGGCACGCGTGTATTTGCTGTAACTGATCAGCCAGTTGACAGAGGGGAAGTGCTTGCGTTGTGCCAACTTCTTATCCAGGCCCCAGAAAACCTGTCAGAAGCCAGAAAGATCAACGAGTGTTCCAAATCAAAAGTGAACCAAAATAATTGAAGGCAATTTAAAAAAAAAAAAATACAGAAAGCAAGTCTAAGCAAATGCAGCATGGCAAAGGTTATCACAAATCTTCAGAGGAAAGCCTGAGACAGAAAGCCTTCCTTATGCTAATCTAACTAAAGCAGTGACTTTCAAATACACTTCTCAACAAATGATGCATCTTTTAAGCTGAGTTCAGACTTATTCAGCTTGATACTCCTCATGAGGGAGAAGTCAGCTGTAAAAAAGGCAATGTCAATACTGGAGTCTAATTAAGTGGAGCCCTATTAGATATAACTCCTTTTCCCAAAACAGGGCTGGGCAATCAGTTGCAAGACATTCTTCTCCCAGTCAGCTGCTCAGAGGACTTTTTTGCGGTTTCAATGCATCTGTTAAGAGTGGTTCAACTTTCCATCTTGGCTGAGAGCAGCCACATTTGAAGTGCAGTTTAAAGGGCAGCGATCAGGAAGCACACTAATATTCCTGAGCAGTCAACACTGGAAGGAATTGCTACCTTTGCTCCCTCTTCCAAAGGGATCTCAAACATGTCAGTTCAGAGACCATCTCATAAGGTCGCCTTTTACACTGTTGGAACACTTTCCAAAGCACCCTACAAAGATGCCTGTGTCAAATCAAAGCTCTCACACCCCAGCCACTGCCACAAATGCACTGAAGCACAATCATTTTCAGTCTAACAAAGTGGACAGAAGAGCTGGAACGTCATGGGACGTACCTGAACAATGCCCAGCGTAGCAGATGTGACAGGATCAGAGAAGTCACCACCTGGGGGAGAAACACTGAGCAGGAAGAGATAAGGAAAAGTTATCAGAATCGCTTTCCCAGTTTGAACTGGAGTACCGAATGTATGACTGCACAGCTCCGTGATCACAGAAACCAGAAAAGTCAACACAATTTCAAGTAACAGATTGCAAGCTTCTACTGCAGAAGGTGTTTGATGCATACCCACACAGGTGTAATATCAAGCATACCATGAAATACAGTTATATCAGTGACTGATTGACAGTATCAAGGTATGATTTCAGTCACTTTAGCTCCAGGTAGTAACTCTGGCTTGGATTATCAGACCTATCTCAACTGGAACAGATTCAGCAAGTGTGCTGATAGGACACCATGAAACACAGTGCACTGATTATTTTATAGAAAACAATATCCCAATTTGAAATTACTTCAGATGTTCACCTATACGATAACCACTTCAACTTCATTGGCCTTGACACCCTAATACATGCCTTCCAAGAGGTAAAAAAATAATCTTCCAACCTCAAAAGCACAATGCATTTGTATAAGCATGTTGTGGACAGCAGAACTGGACTCTAGGTGTTCTTGCAGAAGCAAGAGGATCTCCTGAAAATGCGTCAGGAGAAAATTCACTTTGCCCACAGTATGATACACAAATCAACATAGCCTAGAAGAATGTCTGGGGACCACGTGCTTTTCACAGCCCATCACAACTTGAGATATGCTTCTCCATGTAATTCTACTGTAAGCAAGAGAATCACGATTCATTATGCCCCCAAGGTGCACACACTGCTGCTCTAATACCCCTTCTTTCCTGCTCTGAGCATGGTTTGACACACTTATCAGTGATTGCTGCAAGTGACTGTGATTCCACACCTCACAGAACTACCTGTCCACATTCATTCTTTCTGCTACACAATTTAGCAGTAGTTCTGGGTGAAAAGAGACTAAATATCTACCTACTCATTCATCACATATTTTTAGTTCTGCAGCTGCACAGAGCAACAAGACTTTCTTTTTGTCTGAAAAATAGGTACTCTGACATACAAAAACACAGAGGAAGAACTGCAGCCAGTGCAAAGCAAAGAAACGCAACACTCACGCTCCAACAATGCTGACGCTGCCTTCCCTTTCAGGATTTCCCAGACACTTCACCCTGCCAGCTCGCTCATAGAAAGAGGCTAGACGGGCACCAAGGTAGGCTGGATAACCACTGTCTGTGAACACCAACACACAGACATTGAGTCAAAGGCTCTGAGTTTAAAGGATGCATTTACAAGACTAGACTGAGAAAGACTACTCACCAGCTGGCATTTCAGCCAGTCGCCCTGAAATTTCTCTGAGGGCCTCAGCCCATCGGGAAGTAGAGTCTGCCATCATACTGACATGGTAGCCCATGTCCCGGAAATACTCAGACAGGGTGATTCCTAGAACAAAGACAACAGTGTGCTGCAGGATACAGTTCAGAAAGGAATTCTATGCTTGTATGTTGTCACTAAGATGCAAATAAGCCAAATTATTTAAGTTTACATTTTGATGGAAATAGACACTGGAAGTTATTCTTTCTTCCTACTAGACCATCTCCTTGCTGTCTTTTTTTTATTTATTTCTTCTCACTCTCCCCATCTTTGCTTATGAACCCCTCTGGCTCATCTTACATTCCTGTGTATTTCTTTGAAGAGACATGGCAACATCACTGATGCTACTCTTTGCCTCACTGAAACCATGAACAAAGCCTCTTCTTAATGTAAAATGTCTCCTTCCCTTTCAAACTACCAGAATACAACAGTGAGAAGAGGTCATGTTTTGTCTTAATTATCTGATAACTTTTCATAAAAAAGAATTTTAAAAAACCTCTAAGAGGCTGCAAAGGAAAGAAGACTAGCCTGCCAACTCAGAGAGTACTATTCCTGCCCATTAAGTGGCTGTACTTGTCAGCAAAAACCTGTTCACAAACAAAAGCTTACATAATTAATACCTGGAAAAAAACTACATGAGAGCTGGTGCAGTAAAAGTTCATCTTGTAAGCAAAATTTACTCAATATTTGGAATTCATAATTATATACAAGTAAGCCAAATTCAATTAAGATACTAGGACTTTGTGCAGGCAAGGCCTGAAAGGGCTGACTTCTGAAACTAAGCAGGTTTCTTGGTACTGACCATCTCAGGAACTGAAAATGCTAGAGCATGATGGCTTGGCTCTACATACACAGCCTTTTCCAGCCTCCTGTAAATCTTACCAGTATAGATAGAGGCTTCTCTGGCAGCCACAGGCATGTTGGAGGTATTTGCTACCAGAGCTGTTCTCTTCATGATGCTTTCTACCTTGCCATCAACTTCCATTGTTAACTAAAATGCAAGAAAAGGAAGAAAAAAACCAAAATAACAGTAGCAAGGGTTTTTTGTTTATTTTTTGTTGTTTGGTTTTTTTACTGTATTACTCGCCTTGTGTCAGGATACTCTCCTCACAGCTACTCTACCAAGAGCAGAGGCTAGATTCAAGAATTCAGGATACTGTGCTGGTTTGCCTTCCAGACTGCACACAGCTTAACTCTTTAATGTGCATGCCTCAGCCTCATCTCATCTTCTGCAACTGGCAAATCCCTGTTGACCCCATGCAAATGAGTAATGACAAATTCACTGCATCAGGAAGTACATTACCCTCTCTCAGCTTACTAGGCTGGAAAGGCCAAAAAAATCTTAGCCGCTTGTCATAAGCCCATTAGGAATCGAAGAGCTTTTTTTCCCCATCTACACCGATCCAAATTCATCTGTGACAACTTGACATAAAACCACATACATAACCCTGGTGAAGTCTCACAAGCACCTGAACAACAGAATACATATCCTGACATTTGTGTAGAATTCCACTTACGAATACCCTGGGATTTACCTTTTTCATGGCCACCTCAGCTTGACTTTCTCATCTTGTAATCAAGCAACACACCCAAGCCTTTTACCCCTTATTTCTGACAGTGGAGTTTCAACCTAACAGTTCAAACTATCTGGCTTCTTTCCCATATTTTACAGAAGACTGTGCCACAACTAATTTACTAACATATAACAACTAGAAGGCTAGAAGGACTGGTAAACCTGTGGCTTTTTTTTTTTTTTTTTTAACCAGGCATTTTCTACTTCCTTCAGAAGGTATTCCAAAGCCTAACATGTCAAACTAGTTATCTGGTAGTAGTTTGTATCACCACTCTGCACCCTATAAATACAGATGCTGCATTTGCTATGCATGGTTAAGTCAGAAAAAAGTTAGAGACATTACCAGTGAAAGGCAAGGTGCTTATAACTGTGCTAAATTACACCCTGGCATTCATTTTAGCTTTATTTTAAACAAGTTAGAAGGTACACCCAAAAACTAGTCTGGATGTTTATTGAGGGGCCACTGAAATAATTCTTGAACTAGCCAAAAGGGAGTTCTGCTCCTACAACCAGAACTTACAGCAGGGAGGCAAGATGACCATTTCAAGTCACTCTACCAATATGATATTTTCATACAGTTACAATACCAGTACAATAGCAAGTCTTCCCAGGAAGGTTTACTCTCCATGAATTCTCCATACTAACCTCAGGGAAATCTCTCAGTACTTCAGACATTTCATTTCCTCGTTCTCCACAGCCTACATAAATGATGACATCACTGTTGGAGTATTTTGAGAGAGACTGTGAGATCACAGTCTTCCCACAACCGAATGCCCCAGGAATCGCTGTTGTACCCCCTTGTACACACCTGAGTAAAGAAAAAGGACTCTGATTTGCAAGGAACTCAAAACCAGCTCTCTCCCATCTTAAAATATGTTTTGCAATAAAACTCCCTAATTAAAAGCAGAGTGACAGAAGTCACATTCAGTGTTCTGGGTGAGAAGCACAGAGGTATTTCACTAAACCAAAACTGAGGGAATAAACTATCCTTTTGTTCTACTGCCCTTGAAGTACATGAGTTATGGTGATACAAACAGCTGGACTTTCAGGCTTGAAACGTAGCAGTTTTCACAGCTGGAAGCACTGATGGAATGCAAATGCTAAGAAAAGAACAACTGTACTTAGCCGTGCATTATAAGAATAAGCAGCACAATATTTTAGGACCAAAATTACTGAATTCAGTGTCTTGGAGGTTAGCTGCTTAAACAAGCATTTTGTGTTACACTTAAGTGCAACAGTTTTTCTAAGTGGTGACCCCAAAAATCATTTGGGAACTATACATCCTCAAGACCATGGAAAGAGATCCTACTTAGGCATTCAAATGGGGATATCAAGTGTGAAAGTTCTAGCTTTTCTGTAGATTTGGCATGATTATGTTAAGTTTATGCTTGTCCATTCTTTCCTAGATTAACGCACTAGAACTATCTTGTTAAACTTATCTTCCTTTTTCCACTAGTAGGTTCTCCTGCCAAATAGAGAAATATGAGGAATTCAGCTAAATATTTTTTGAGATTATGCTGTGATACACAGTGAAAGCCTGGGGTCTGTTTGCACTTAAAAAAAAAATTTAAGGCCTCCTCCCTCCGTTTCCTTCCAAAAGAGAAATTTCTTACCTACTAGAAAATAAAAGGTAGTACTTACGGGAAGAGGGCATCCAGGACCCGTTGGCCAGTTAATAAAGGATGATTGGCTGGTAACTTCTCAGTAACAGGACGGACTTGACGTACAGGCCAGACCTGGACCATAGTGAACTTCTCCTTCACACCTTCAAACTCCAGCTCTAAGACAACATCCTAACAGACAGCATCAGACATCTGAAGTAAGCAAACAGCTGCACACTGGACCAGTATGCAAATTCTCATCTCAACTACTCTGCACAGCTGGGTCTTTGATACCACCACAGACTTCTCAGAACCTCAACACATTATCATCCCCTCCCAAGGGAAGGCTCTTTATAATACTACTGGGGAAAAAAGTGCAAGATGAAACTTCAACTAAAAATATGCTTTTGAAGAGCAACTGAATTTTACATATTCATAAGATACTGTAGATCCCCACAGAGGTCAGCAAACACAGCATACTGAAGGGCCATTGGGAAGCCATATACATAGAAAGCAACTGCACAAGATAATCATGTATCCCTGCAGGCAGGGTAGCAGAAGTGATCATTAACTCAGACAAACTGTTGCATGAAACACATTTTAGTTGGCATCATGCAGAACAGAAAGAGTACATCAGCCTCATGAAAGAGACATGGAATATAACAGCAACTGCTGTTTGTGAGACTTACTGAAGTGTCATAGTTTCCTGGTGGAGCAATGTATGTAACTGTACCCCTGTTCCGTGGGGGCAGCATGATTTTGTGTTTGATAAGAGAGTTTTCATTCACCACACCATAAATATCTCCACCAGTGATGTGGCTGCCAACCTAAAATCAGAACAGGTCTATTAGTCATAAGTGAGAACTCCGGTTTTAAAAAAGAACCTTGACAAAGAACTGTATAAAATAACTATAGCTATTAAGTCTAGCACTGTGATTGTTCCCTTTGTTGTTACAGCACAGTAGCCCATTTACATAACTCATTACACTAACAGCACATTGCTAGCAACACTATCTGGGTTCAGGCGCCTTTCAAGGCACAGACAGTAGCAATTACTGACTGATACAAGGAATTTTCCTCATTTCTTTTATACCTCTTAGTTTAACATGTTAAGCACAGAAAGGATAGCATATATTAATGGTTGGACTGGATGGTCTTACAGGTCTTTTCCAACCTAAATGATTCTATGATATGTTAACCTACAGGGTTGGAAAGAAGATGCCAGGGGCCAAAGCAGTGACATTTTCCAGCTCTGAGGCTGGAATCATTTTCACCATTCACAAAATGTGTGCCGCAGTTATTCTTTTTGCTCAGGTAACAGCCGCTCCTGTTAATGCTTAATGCAATTCCACTAAGGTCTTTACAGTTTTGTAAATACGTCAAAACTTTGCAAGTTTCTCACATGCAGCAGCAACCCACAGTAAATCACATTGAGTAGGTTTTGGTGATCCCCATCCAGTCTCATACATCACCACCACCTCCTAGCACCCCCTTTTCACAGCGTTAACCATAGCTCCCAGCAGTCATAGCCTTGGCACTCTGCTCTGGCCCTAAGCTCTGTGGGTAGAGGAGCAAGAGGGGAAGATAGGCTTGCCAGAACCTACCCGCAGGTTTTTGGAAGGCGTGAAGTCCCATTTGACATCTCGGCTCAAAGCCGACACATTGACACCTCTAGGGATATAGATACTTTTGGTCAGAGTGCTGATGTCTGAGAGAGGCCTCTGTATACCATCAAAAATAGCTCCCATAATGCCAGGCCCTAGTTCCACTGACAGGGGTTTGCCAGTACGGAGTACAGGATCTCCTACAGAGACACCAGCTAAAGATTTGCTGAGGAAAAGTTCATCCAGAGAAAGGGAAAGAAATGGGGCAGAAGGCATCACATTCACAACATCATACTCTTAAACCACCTGCCTTTAAGGTAATATTTTTATTACTATATTACACATCATCATTTGTGAAGCATGTAGGCTTTATACTAAACTCAAGCTGAAATTCCTACAGCAACAAAGTTGCTCATCTTCCAGAGAGACAAAGTAGGGGAAAATATTCTGCTTTACGATCGTTAGTTCAAGTCAACTATATGGATGAGTTTATACGGATGTAGTGCCAGGCAGCAGTATGACAAAACGTCAGGCATTTCTTAAATCATCAAACCTAGAAAACAGGTTTGATTGTTAAAGTCAGACAATGTTATGAAATACATAATTTTTCGCTTCAGATTTTGTTGGAGAACACAACTGTTTTGACCTTGACCCTTGCACAGCCTTTTTGACAGCAGTCTAATTTTAAAGGGAGCTTGTCCAAGACCAGCATTATTTCCCTCCTCTCTGAGATCAAGTTGTCCAGTCTATGTACTATCTAAGCTCCAAAGATGCACAATGGACTTCTCTGCAAAAGGCCAGCAGTTTGGCAAAAGGCCCTGCTACAATACAAAAGAAACCCCCAAAACCCTATGCAAGGCTCAAGAGATTAAATGCATGTTAACTTCAGAGCCCTACGACAGAGCCCTCTCATCAGGAACCTAAGAGTAAACTATACTCAAACTTGTTCCATGTACTGATGGAAGGCTACTAGATATTACAATGATGATGCCATCTAAAATGATGCCATCTAAACTGACAAATTATTAGGTACAGACAGGAGCTAGTCACCAGTTCACCATCCAGCTCCTCAGAATAAAGCTTTGGGAGCCAGCACAGGCTTTTTCCTATCCTCTACAGATACACAGGCACAACTCTTAAATTTGAAAGAATATGAGGGAAAAAAAAAAAAAAAAGAGAAGGTCTGGCTTTAAGTTTTATGACTTCTTTTCTGACATTCTCTCATATATGTGTAAAAGAAAATACATTTTAAGTTAACCAGATTTTAGAAGACATGCTGCGTCCTAGCTGGACCAAGATGCTGTAAGCACACTATGGAAGCAAAAATGTAATCTATCACATCTGGCAAAATACTCTGCCCAGAAAGCAGCATCCTGCCCACTTTACATTTCCTGTTTAAGTGTTATACAAACATAGTTTTCAAAAGCAATGAAAAAAAAATGCAACAAATACTGCTTGGTAGTTTTGCCATTTATGGTTGCCATTTTTCAAACAACTTCCTTAACAAGGAGCTGTAATACTTAAACTAAAATGAACCTAAATTCTAAGGTACTCATTATTTTATTTCCCCATAAAATCAAAAAAGTTCTCCTTGGTACACAACCAAGCTAGATAAGATTTACCTCAAAACCATCAGAATTTACAAAAGATGTGCCGAATAGATGTTTCTGCCTGCCAGCATCAGAAGTACCAAGCCCTGGTCCCAGACAGCTTTGTTCATCTTCTTCATCCTAATGACCACTGTGTTCTGGACTGCGCAGTCTGGCAGGCCGAGAGGGATCAGTGAAAAGGATACATGTTTCTTCATACACCTGGACAGTTGCCAAATCACCTTCCAGTCGGATAATCTCCCCCACCAGTTCACTGTGGCCTACTCGTACCAGCTCATACATAGCAGCACCTGCCATGTTGCATGCTGTGACCACTGTAGAAGACAGACACGTAGGTAAATATTTTTCCTGTAGCTCAGGAAATTTATTCATCAGAAGTTAGTAAGGACTGCACAGCATAAAGCCTGGTATTCACCCAAATCAGAAGCGCATTCTTGATTTCACAAAAGGGCTAACTTGGCTGCCACAAATCCTGACATTTCTAGTTTAAAAGCCAAAAAAAAAAGTTTCCCTATACTTTTCACACTGTTCCTTTATGCTCAATAAGAGGACACTATCAGAATATAGTAGTTCACAGATAATTCACACCATAATTTCTTAGCTATCTTGACAGATGGCAAATGTTTAGGGTTTTAGAGACGCAGTGAACTTTGACAGACACGTTACATAGCTGCTTCTGTCTTTCAGTTAGCTGGGCCACATTCCCATCTGACTAAATGAAACATGCACAAGAAAATGTCAAAAGCTCACCTGATACCTGGTAGTTACATAAACCTGTATGGGGACCAGCATTTTCAAGCCACTCAAACTTCTGTTTACCTTGGTAGCATCTGGATTCTAACATAACAAACTATTTCCATGCATAGATCAAGCCGAGGTGCCTGCTAAAGGCAACACATACCCCTGTATCTAGAGTGGCAGATGTCTACAAAGCTTTTAAGGAAGCACTATTTTGACATTTTATTTCGTAGAAAAGTGATGTATAACTTAAACCATTTAAATTAACTTTCAACAGATAAAGACTCTTTTACAGCACGTTTTGGGCCTGAAACCTACTGTTTTGAGTTAGATTTCAGCAGGTCATACATGAGGCCTAGCTGCTTTCAGACAAAATTTATCATGTCTTTAATATTATAATATCAATCTTGCATACTGGTTTCATGTATTTACACAAAAATACATTTTCCACTTCTCAGGAAAGAAAGCTGCATCAGTTTAAAACTGTTTTTAAGTATCACTGCTGCAGTTAAGGAATTGGCAGTTAAAGAACACAGATTTTTTAGGTAGACACAAGCCAAGGGAATTTCTTATTCATCAAATAAGCTGCATTAACAAAAATACATGCTATCCTTATGTTCTCACATTCCCATCTTTTCCTTCATCTCTTGAAGAGAACGCAGGAGGGAACAGAAAAGCTGATAGAGTCTGCACATATTCAAAAGCTGTTACCATCACAGCCTAAAGAAACTATTTAAGCTGATAAAGAAGGAGAAAGAGTTCTCCTCTTCCCAGTGGCACTACCACCACGTCCTGCCACCTTCCCTGACCCTTGCAGCTCCTAGCTGAGCTCCTCCAGCCCGCAGTGCAGTAACACAGAACAGCCCGACACTGGCAGAGGACTGAGTATTCCGGAGAGCACAGGGTCAAATTGCATTTCAGTGGGAACGGGCTATGCATCTCACACCCTTTTAGAGAAGCTTAATACACTGGGCCTGCAGATTAATGACCAAGTGGCTGTACCTCATCCAGAACGTTTACTACCTTTTGAAATATCATTAGTATTATTATTCATCAGCCTGCCTCTGCACATTACATCTTCAAATAAGATAATTAATCTTAAAGCAGTAACATCTTGTTAGTGTATTTCTTAATATTTTATCAGACTAAGTCAATGATCTTTCTTAAAAAGCCTCCCCCCAAAAAAGAAAGAGAAAAAGCCCCACCCAGAGCTCTACTATACTTCTTCACTTCTGAGTTCACCTCCAAGTGAACAAGATTAACAAAGACACTAGATAAAACAACACCTATGGTTTCCTATACAAAATAATACCTACCAGGTCCTGAGACTCCATGGACATAGCCAACAAAAGCCTCTCTGTCCTCATCACGGATTTTGGGTAGCTTGGAGAAGTCCATTTTGCCTGTTCAACTGTACAGAAGGAAAAAAAAAAAAAAAGAAGAGAGTCAGTTCTGAAGAACACACACATGTAAGAAGTTCCTCCTCTTCCTCCCTTTTGCTCTCTCCTTGTTTCCAGTTAGAAAGAATTCTGAACTTTAGAATTCTGAACTCACATAGCCTGAAGCACCTTAACCACACTGATTTTAAAGCTATAAAAAGTTACAGAGTAACTCATTTAAACAAACAAAAGAACTAACACCCCCTACTGCAGAAACACAGGGGTGGTACATCACTCCACAAAACACCGCTGAGCGAAACAGTTACACTCCAAAAATGCCAAAACACACTGCTGGACTCTTTTCAAGCCCAATAACAGGATATTTAAACAATGGAGACTCTCTTCTGTCTCCCACATCGCATCTAGCCTCCTTCAAAACATGGAGTTTTCCATGATTCTGAATGAGCAAGGGAATGTTCTGGGACTGCTTTACTGCCACCGGTTTCTAAAAGACCTACTACAAATACTAATTGTGAAAATTCTATTTTTGCTATCTCAAGCTGCTGAATCAGAGTGTTCAGAGGAAGACACATACATTTGCACAAACACCAGCATGCAAACATGTGAGTCCTCTATATGCTAGGTATTATGCAGTCTTGCTCCCAGTGAAACCCATGGAGCATTATAGAAGATTTGTGCTGAATAATAGCCAAAAAACTCAACTTGCAACAGTTAAACACTGACATCTCTTGCCAGTAACTGTTTAGAGAATCTAAACAACTGGCACAGGAAAAGCTGTTTGAGAAACAGACCTCCTCAATCCACGTTTGTCCTGTAATTGACAGCTGGCTGTCCTGCTTCTGGTGCTGATAAGAGTATTTAATGTTTTTGCTTTGTCAGTCCTTATCATGCTTTGCGTTGCCTTGGAAACTGATCAGTGTAAGAGAACTGTAAGGCAACTCTCTATCCATTTATACTGCATTGACACATTTATGATACAGGACTGGTGAAAGGTGTGGTATGGCAATCCCAGCATACAATACTCTCTGCGTACCAACAGGGCCTATCCAGCAAAAGTCCATGGTTTGCTGGTAGGAACCGTGTGAGGCATCTGTTGACACTCATAGTCCTTGCAAGAAGCTTAACCTAACCTGGCATCATCTGCAAAGCAGCAAATACAGAGGTGTACTCAGGCTTGAAAACCTGCTCTGTGTACAATGAGGAATTGCCACCGCTTCTTACCATCATCAAAGGATGCTTTTCTGACTGTTCTTCAGGAGCAGTAGGTAGCTGGCATCTGCTATTCTTAAAATCTTATGACTGTTTAAAATCTTATGACTTATGACTGCTTTTTAATACTATGCTACAAATCCTCTGCCCCTCAGCCTCTTTACCAATCTAAATGTCTTAAATTGGTGGCTCTGTTCTGCAAGAAAAGGCTCTCCAATGATTCCAAATTCCTATTCATCCTGAAGGAAGAGCTTCTTCCAGGCTCCACGTCTTGCTGGAACAGATTGTGTGCCACCCCAACAGCTGATCATGACTCAGTCACCACCAGCCCAGAGTGGAACTGCTAACTGTTCTCAAGCTCAAAGGGTAAGTCAGATACCTGTTAGATCCCTCTGCTCTCCATAACGATAGTTTATCCTTTAAGCTGCCTGTTGCTTAGGCCCAGAAGACAATTTTAATTTCACTGCTTATTTCTCAAAAGTCTCTTCTGAAAAATGGCAGAGGGGAGGTCCTCACAAAGCAATCTGCAGTTTCTGAGCAGCTGGCAAGAGCTGGTTCTGATCTGACTAACATAACTACCTCATCTTTTTTGCTTTTAACAATTAAAAACATTGCAAAACTCAAGCAAAATTACTGTTCATCCTGACAAAAGCAGCTAGTCTTATAAATCCACCCAAAACATTTATTTCAACATACCATGATACAGAACAATCTCTAGAGTCCTACTACCAAAATGTTCTATAGAAGCACAATAAAGAAAGAGCTAAACCAAATTCTCATAACTGAATTAGTGACACTGTTTGACAATTAGACAGTACAGGGTCCCACACGAAAGAGTCAATTCACAAAGGCAAGGAAAAGCAGGAAGAACACTGGCTAGTTTCAATTTAAATTAACTTCTCTTCATATCCAAAACCTGCAGGTCAGCCGACTGCCACTTGAAGCAACTGTTTATCTTTTAGAGACACTAATAAGAACCTCAGAACAGTCATTCTGCAGTTGAAATGGCATCCTGGCACCCAGCACCCGCCTCTCATTCCTGTGCCTGCTCTGCTCCCTATCTCTTCCTACAGCCACCTTCCTCACTAACCGACCAAACCAACTAGAAGGGAATGGGGTTCCTCTGCTAGACCACCTAGAAACACACCAATAAACCCTGTCTTTGTCCTGATCTTTAGCATCTGCACCAACTTCTTTTAAACACATATCTATTAAATATTTCAAGTGTAAAACATGTGGTGAATTTCTCCTCACCTTTCTTTGTTCCATCTCCTATACACCTCCAAACAAAGTACACACAGTCAAAAAAGCCAGTGCTCACCCAGGCAAGCTGACCTCTTTTTTAAGGGGTTACACATCTTTTAACATTGAATACAAATTAAGGAAAAAAAATGCCATTATTTGTCTCTGCATAGTTGTCTTGTGCTGGTGTATTAGCATTACAGATTTTCATTCTAGATGGAAAAGCCCCTGAGGGCAGAAATCTTGCCTTACGTACCTATGCTGTTAAATGTCTTCATTGTTAGTACTCAGATAAAATGGAATTCCCTAAAGCACGTCAGAATTTGCTAAACATAACGTTATGTGTGTGCAGGCAGTACGTACTTACCCCAGAAGCCATGGTAGCTAGCCATTTTAGAAATCTACCGAGTTCCTACAGCCTTTCATAGGCCTCTTACCAATGCAGGTTATTAGGCACTACATGCCATCCACTCCTACAAAGCACACTAGCACACCTACACAGGGTATTAGCTTAATTTTAATTCCCTTACGAGCAAAGTTGCATCTTGTACCCTTTACCGTGTATAAACAGGAATCTTCCTCTTCTTAAGCAGTTCAACAATTGATTTTAAACATGCTCTTAAGCTCTAACATGGTCATATTCTGCTTAACAGTGCCAGAAATCAAAATATTACTTGCCACAGAACAGTCTTTTACTGAAAGGTGATTTATTAAAGTAATTTTATAGTCATAATTAAACAAGAAAGGGCCAACGACCTGAGTTTTCTATCTTGATTTCTCCCCAGCACAGCAATTTGGCTACACAGTAACCCAAAAATGTAACTATCCCACTCTCAATGCCAGAGAAACCTGTTTTCTATTACAGTTCCTTGGTTTTACTTCAAATGTTTGACCAGTCCCTGAATTTACACAATGAACTGCCTTACCACAAAGATGTCTTCAAAATTAAGACTCCAGTGAGATTTTTTTAGAAGGAGCCTTCTTAAAGCAAGGACAAAAAGCCACGACTATTTTATCATATAAACACAGAGTCTTACCTTATTTTGCAGAAACAGGCAGTAACAAAAATCCACAGGCCCAATGAAGCAAAGCCAGAATTCAGCACTTAAGCACCACCGCTTAAGAAATAATTGTCCTTCTAGTGCCCCTACACAGAGGGATGAGAAAGCCTGCTGCAGAGGGGAAAGAAATTTCTGACACACAGCAGAGGCACAACCACCTGACTTGATGAGTCATCAGTCT